GGGGCCGCTCCCGGGCGGTCCTGCCGACCGGCCGCCGCGCCGGATTCCCTCACGGCTTCTGGCAGCACCTCCCTCGCCTGCCTCCGCCCCCACCCCGGCCGCGTCCAGCGGCTGCCCCAGCTGCTGGGGACGGCCGCCGCGTCTCCTTCGTCCGGTGTCGAGCGGGCAGGGTGGTGGGTCGGCGGCGCCGGACGGGACGGGACGGGACGGGACGAGACGGGACGGGACGGACGGTCCCCCGGGGCCAGGTGAGCGGCTGCTGGGCTGGCGGGAGGAGAGGCGGCCGGAGGCGGCGGGCGGTGGAGGGTGAGGAGGGACGGGTAAAGCGGCGGGCTGCGAAGGGGGGAGTCGCCCTGCGTTGCCGGGCTGAGGTGAGCGAGTCTCCAGGGCGGGGCGGCAGAGGTGCGCGGCTCTCCGTGGATGGGCTTTCCCGCCCACCCCTCCCCGTGAGGGGACGACGGGGGTGAGGGCAGAAGGGTCGAGCGGGAAAGGCTGGCGGAGGAGGGCAGGTCGGGGAGGCTTAGGCTCCCCGCTTAGTCACGTCCCCCTCACGGATCCTTCCCCTTGAGTGGCGCTTTGGGGGTTTGGCCCGGCCGGGCGAAGCGCGGCCCGAGGGGAGGCTGAGGGGAGACCGCGCCTGCAGAGCGTGCTGCGGGGAGAGGACCGTTGGTAGCCGTTGGTGGCCGTTGGTGGCCGTTGGTGGCCGTTGGGACTGTCGGCCGGGCCGGCTGCGGGGTGTGAGGCCACGGTAAGGGGACTGCGGGGGACGCCTTTCCGAGCTCGTCTTGTTGGGGCACCGCTCTTCTTACCAGGTACGTCTCGGTGCTGCTGGCGGAAAGGTTTCCTGCTGGTTTCCAGCCTTATTTTAAGCGCTTAATCGGCAGTGATTTTTAAAAAAAAAAATCTGTAACGATTTAAATCGTCTTAAAAAGTGAATGATTTTGAGGGATGCGTCAGTAGGGCCTGAAGGCATTTTGCAATAAGGTGCTAGGGCAGCGTCCCCTTGGGACCGTATGTCTAGGCTGGGTCAGGCGTTCCTCAGACACAGTTTCCGTCAGAAGGGGTACGGAGAATATATTCAGCTCAGAAGTTTTTGCTGCTTGTTTCTTATACATTCTGCAAGATAACCTGTATCATTGAAAGTAAAATGTCTTCAGAGTCACTTGTGCACAGTAATCGTTTCGAGGGTTTTTTTGGTCTGTTTTTTGCCTTGTCCTCTTACACCGGCCAAGTGAGGAAAGTCCAGTATATTGGAAGCATCCTTTCCTGTCTGGGTTTATGACAGTATTTATTTATATATCTTTATAACAGGACTGAACTCTGTTGCTTTTACTGTCTTGCATTGATCTATGCGGAAATGTTGAAGAAATGTTTGTAAACTAATTAACCGGCCTTCTAAAGGCATGCCTACCTAGCCTATTAAATGTGTGATTGTACAAGCCCGGGCTGGTTTTGACTTGCATGAAATCAGTTACACTAATGCTGAAAGTGTGGTAAAATAAGCTTCAGCATGAGCCAAAATAGAGTTTACAGTCTCGCCCGATCTAAGTGTTACTTGGTCCCAAAGCAAACTATTTGGGTATTTAGCTCTGACATTTGTGCTGAAAAGGTAAAGCTGGAGTTACTTGTCTCTACTCAAAATTGTTGCTTCCTTTTGCTTGCTTGCATAGGCTAACAAGTGTGCATCATCATCACAAGACAACTGTGCAAGTCGATATTCCTGTTCTGAAGCTTTAAGTTTGTAGCTTTAGTCATTCCTTCTTAAACTGGAAATATACTTCTGTATACTGCGTGGGGGAAACAAGCGGGATTTGGTCCTCTGCCAGGTGATCAGAAATGTGTTTGTTGAATTAAAAAGAAGAGAAAACAGGTCTTTGCTTAGGAGGGTCTCCAGGTACTTGTGTTCACTGAGGAAGGACACTTAAAACGTATTGATAAAGACAATCTCTGAAGTGAAATGCCTTGAAAGAAGATGCAGGAAAGAAATTGCGTGTAAACAAAGTTTGCTCACAAACTTTTTGAAAGCACAAAATTTTCAACTTGCACCACAAGCTAGTACTATTTTATTTCTGCCTTGGCAGTCAGACACCAAGTGAACTAATGTTATTAGTATCTTTATTAATATTACTTTAGTATCTTGAATTAATTCTATAGATTAGATGGGAGTTTGTGAGCACATTTGTTCTCTTTGGTCCCTTCCACATTTAATGATAAACTTGTATTTCTAATGCATCAACAGAAATTGGCTCAAACTAGAGCCAGCTAGAGAGAGATCAAGGACTACATTTCCGTTATCAAGTTTTTGTGCTGTGAATGCTTTTAGTCAGGTCTTCCACTAGATCTGGAGAATGTTGGCAGGTTTAGAAAGTTTTGGACTTCATGAGAGAATAGCTGTTGTTAAATTTGGACAATTTTTAGTTCTTAATATGTAACACTATCAGTGGCCTTGGCAAACACAGTATAGCTTTAAAACTGATCACTACATATGAGCTTGGAATTTTATGTTTTCAGGGGAATACTAGATTAGATTATTTGAAGGCCAAAATCAGGGTACCTCATACAGTTAATCTTATTGACTTCAACAAGAAGAATTGGCATGAATAAGGTGTGCTATTTGGCCTGAAATGTTAGCTTTCTGATAAATGGTATGTTTAGTAGTATTATTGTATCTAGGTTCATTTAGAGGCTTTGCTTTTTTTCAGATGCATAGATTCAGAGAATACTAATTTATTCCAGGACACTGGTAGATGCTACTCTTTTTGTGAACAAAAAAGGAGCAGGGCGAATCATTTCATGTTTATTAGATAGGTGCTCATGATTATGAGAATCTTATTCTTTCCAGTCATAAATTCCTGATAGAATTATAATTTGGAAAGAATCTATGAAAAAATCTGCTTGTGTCACTATACAGTAATTAATAGGACTCAATTATCTGGGAGTCTTGCATTCCTTCTGTGCCAAAATATCTTTGAAATTTATTGTTGTTCAGGGTGGACAAAGGATCCTTTGTAGTTAACATTAAATCAAAGACACAAAAAAATCACTCTCAAACTCCTCCCTGCATGAGTCACATGGATTTCTCTCTATCTGTGAGCTGAACATCTTGTATACCACAGGTGCTCAGCCTGTGAGTGTTACTTACGTTGGCTTCAGGACAGTTTTATTGCAGGTAATATGTAGTGGAATTGATACAAGATTTTAGAATTGTATTTGGCAGCTAAAGTCCCAGTCTCAGCATTTTCTATTTTTCTTTTATCGATGAGCACTGGAGTCCAGAAATCTAATTAATGTTTGGCACAACAGCTGTTTTTCAGCTAGTGCCTTATTAATAAAGTGATTTTGTTCTTCCGTTCTAGATTCTCTTGTGCTGGCTAGTGAAATACAGTGTTCTTAACATCTCAGAGAAAAACTGTCCTTTATAACATGATTTACTTATTTTTGTTTGGTTTAAAAGAGAACTGTACTAGATGAGACAGGGTGTGGAAAAGAAATAGTTTATAGCGCTGCCCAATCTAGTTAATATACTTTTTAACTCTCTAGAATTTCGAAGAAATTACTAGAATTTAACACATTATTTCTGTTTTCTGAAATTTGCATGACATGAGTACCACAGGTGATGCCTTAGTTGCCGAAAAAGAGCAACCACTCACAAATTAAGCACTCTGTAGGTTTGAATTTATGGGGCTCCTGAAAGGAGTTGTTGAAGAGTTAAGGCTTAGGAGATCCATCAGTAGGTTTGCCAGAAGTTGTCATGTTTGGCAAGAGGTGACACATTTAGAAATGGTAGAACTAGCAAGAAAATGAGTAATGTGAGTATGCTGATTATGGAAACATTATTGTGCACAGGTAACAAAACCCAACATCTTTTTACTTACATTTTTAGTGTTTTAAATATTCTCTTAAAAATCCCTTTTGTATTCTTTAGAGAAAAAAAAATCACTGTGGCTCTCTGCCTGGATTTATTAGACATCTGGGCATGCCTGATTGTGAATGTTGCCAAATTCCAAGTCTAATTTCTCAGTTTCTAACCAGACTTTGAATATTTTTGTTTCTTTTGCACCAAATTAATTATGCATATAAGCTGTTTCTGATAATGCTTGTCACTTCATGTTTTGAAATCTGGGGGACTTTATTCCATCATTATTCATTACACAGTCAAAGTATTCATATAACTTGAATTAAAAAGTGCTTGCCTTTTTTCCCCTTATCTATCTTTCAGCAAGTTAGCATTGTGGTTAGGTTGGTTTATTTGTAAGAAGGCTAATAATTTTACTTCTTATAGAGGTGGTGATGGTGAAAGAAGTCATGTAGAATGTAGTTGTACAAAGTAAATTTTCTGAGCTGTGTATACATTCATGGGTGCTGCACACAGAAATGGTGCTGGTTTAAATACATTTTTCTGAAGTTGATTTGAAGTCATCTACTGTCTTGCGTGACCACTCTCAAGTATTTAAGAATGATTGCTCTTGACTGACTTGTTTCAGTTGTATTAGTCTAATATGCACTCTGGTCAGAAATCCTCCTCCTCTTCTTTCCCTGATGACTGATTATGGGTCTTGTCTTGGCAATGGTGTCATCTCCTTTCCCCTGTACTCCATAGACTTACATTGTACCCTAAGGAGGACCAGTGCTAAAGGAGGCCCAGAATGCTGTTCTGGCATAACCCCTTAAAACAGGACCCCCAAATATTTACCCCACGTGGAGACTGAGGTGCAAAAGCAACTGTATTTCCTTAGGCTGTATAGGGTAGTGATGCCATATTCCTAATCAGAGTTGTAGTGGGGCTCTGGAAGATGCTTGCTTCAGTACATCCATCTTTCAGAACTGATAAGCTTTATTTCTTTGGTACAAATTATTAATTTTGGTCATTGGGCTGTTGATTAAAACAATCTGAGAGACTGTTTAAAAGAAAACACAAAACCTCAAACCACAAACGAAAACTTCCACCAAGTATTGTGCTGCTTAGCTTACAGAGAGATTTTAACAGTCCAAGTGGAAGATCCAAGAGACCTGTTATGTCCATAAAGTGAAGCTTAGGATGAAATCACAATATAATTTCTTTTTTGTAAGACTTTGGGGGGAGATTCTGCTGTTCAAGCCAAGAGAGCATGGAAATGAGACTGGGGAAGGAAAGTGCCAGCTGAGCAAAACCAGGAATTTTTCTCCCCCCCCGCCTCCCTCCACTTAACAGTAAGATGAAATAGACTTTCAGGTCTCATTTTTGAGAAGTAGGAAAATTGAAAGCAAGACCTGAACAGTCGGCTTTCTGGCATGCCTGGTCCTCACTTGGTACCTTACAGCCTGCTTGTATTGTTCACTGGCTTGAATATTCCAGCTTTAGAGAAGTCTTTGTCCTTCACTCTTTCTCTCTGAATCAAATTGAGTTCCTGTTACCGAACATAAAGGGTAACTTTGTCTACTTTTCTATGCTTACATCTTTGTACACCCTTCTTCATCCCTTTTACATGGCTCAAGGTGCATGTCTAGCATTCCTTTAATCTTTTCTCTATGTGCCAACTTAAACTTTCAGTCTTCTACTCTGCAGAACATTTCTTTTGTTATTCCCCCCCCCATGAAACCTATATACCTCCATAACACAAAGTATTATTAATGAAAATGTAAATAGCCTGCCTGTAGTTGAAGTAATACGTAACTGTTTTATTTAATCTGTGCTTCTTATGCTTCACTGGTACTTTGTAAACACTTTGAAGTGGAAACCAGGTATTGTCACTGAAGGGCTTTTTAGTTTGCTCTAGAAGATTTAATAGAGTGCATGGATAGTACTTTTCTCTTGAGGGAATACACAATGCAG